GAAAGAAGAAACCAAAAGTTTTTTTTTGTTTGCTTGTTTTATTCTTGGTCTTGTTTGTTTGTTTGCTTGCTTTGTTTTGCTTTGGTTTGATTTTTAAAAATTTTCTTTTTTTGGGGGTGCCTTGGAGGTGATGTGAGGACTGGGAGGTGAGCAGAATTAGGGTGCATAATATTAAATTCCCAGAGAAATCAATCAAGAAATTGTATTTAAAGACTCTAAAATAAAAAAAAAAGATGAGTAACAGTCCTGTGGAAAATTGTTTATTAGTATTAGTGAAGGCATAGATCATTTTAAGGAATGATGCATATAAAGATCAAGAATATACCAAGATGGCTTAGAAGACTGAGTAGGAAAGGAAATCATTCTTTTGAGTATGGAAAAGTAAAGAGTAAAACCATTTTTCACAAGGCATTAATAAGACAAGATGTCCACTTTCTGCATGTTATTAAATATAGTGGTTGAATTTTTGGATATTAGGGCAACAGAAAGAAAAGTGATGTAAATTGAAAATAATTATTACCCTCTGCTAATTATATAATTCCATATGTAAAAGACCTTAAAAATTACACTAAACAATTCATAGTCCTGGTAAACACTTTTAGAAAACTAAGATAAAAAAATTAGTATTAAAAAAATCACGGTAGCTGTTCTATATCCAATAAGTAACAGGTTAGAGAAAATCATAAAAGCAATCCCATATAGATTAGAACAAAAATCGAAATAAACGTAGCTATGAAAGTGAAAGATCTATGCAGTAAGAATTTTAACAGTGGAGAAAGAACTTGAAAACACCAGATGATGGAAAGATCTCTCATGTTTCATAGGGTGTAATGAAAATGATCTAAAGATAAATGCAATTTACATCAGCATTCTGTCTTTCCTACTTTTCTATTGTGAAGGGACAACATGGCCAAGGCAATTTGTTTTTGTTTTGGGGGGGGGGGGGGGGGGGGGGGGGGGGGGGGGGGGGGGGGGGGGGGGGGGGGGGGGGGGGGGGGGGGGGTTTTTGGGTTTTAAGAAGGGGGGGGGGGGGGGGGGGGGGGGGGGGGGGGGGGGGGGGGGGGGGGGGGGGGGGGGGGGGGGTTGGGGGGGTGGGGGGGGGGGGGGGCGGCTTGTAAAAGAACTAATTTAATTGGAAGGTGAGTCCATGAGCATCACGGTGCGGAGCATGGTAGTAGGTAGGCAGGCATGGGACTGAAGCAGGGACTAAGAATCTGTATCCTCGTCTGCAAGTAGGAGCCACAGAGAGATAGAGATAGAGATATAGATAGATAGAGATAGAGGAGAGAGAGAGAGAGAGAAAGGGAGAGAGAGAGAGAGAGATTGGGCCTGGCCAAAGTTCACCGCCAGTGACAAATCTATTGTAACAAGGCCATACCTCCTAATCCTTCCACAACAGTTTTACCTAGCATTCAAACATATAAACCTGTGAGGATCATTTTATTCAAACCACCACACATTTCCTATTGTTGAGGAATAGGAAAATATTTCTTAAATTATTATGGAAGCACACAAGATCTATTATAGCTAAAGACATCCTGAACAAACATGACAATGCCGGATGTATCATTACAACAGTTGATCTCAAATTATATTATGGAGTTAGAGTAACAAAAACTCTGTGGCACAAAATTCAATTGAATAGAATATATATATATATCTATATATATATATCTATATATATATCTATTAGACATCTGTTCCAATACAGTTGCTAAAAAAGAATATACACTGGAGGAAAGAAAACTTTTTCAACAAGTGACAGTACTGATTATTCATATGTATAAAAACAAAACTAGAATCCCATTTTATTTACCTTGTTCAAAAGTCAATTTGAAATGGATTAAAGACCTTAATATAAAGCTTGCCTCTTTGTAACTCCAATAAGAAATCACAAAGACACCTTCCTATTTGTGTGGGAGCCCCAATTTATTTATTTATTTATTTTTCTTATTTTACATATCGATCCCAGTTCCCTCTCCGTCCCTCCCTCCCTCTCTTCCACCCTTCCATACTCCCCCTCACCCTCCCATCCCATTCCCCCTCCCCATTCCACATGTAAGGTGATGCCTTCCTGGAGGAGTCACCTAAATTTGTCAAGTCATTTGGAGTAGGGACTAGGCCCTCCCTCCTGCCTCTAGGTTAAGGGAATATTCCTCCATGGGGAATGTGCTCCCAAAGTCCTTTTGTGCACCAGGAATACATCCTGGTTCCACTGTCAGAGGTCCCTTAGACTGCCCAGGCCTCCTAACTGAGACCCACATTCAGGAGGTCTAAGTTGGTCCAATGCTGGTTTCCCAGCTATCAGTCTAGGGGTCCATTAGCTCCTCTTTGTTCAAGTCAGCTGTCTCAGTGGGTTCTGTAGCCTGGTCTTGTCCTCCCTCTCTGCATCTGGATTCCAGTTCAGCTCAGTGTTTAGCTGTGGGTGTCTGCTTCTATTTCCATCAGCTACTAGAAGAGGGCTCCATGATGGTGGATAAGTTAGTCATCAATCTCATTATCAGGGAAGGACATTTGTGGTAGCCTCTCCACTGTTGAGAGCCCCAATTATTTATACAATGACTTGGAACATTGATGTAATAATTAATTTTCTACAACCAGATATTCAGTCCACTCCAAATCTCCAAATACCAGGAAAATATGTTTGTATTACCAAAACTTACTGAGGAGCTGTTTAACATTTCACACACTTTTAAAGTTTCCCTGTGATTAACACAATTATGTTAGTAGATCAACAAATATCATTTTTGAATAAAGGAACGCTAAAATCATAAAGCATATATAATAAATTATGGACTTTGCCAGTCAGATTCCATACTAAACTAAATCAAATTAACTGAATGAATAAAAACAGAATAAAAACCAATCAATGAGTTATCAATTAGATTTGCCTGGGTTTTTAAAATACTAAGCTGAATTTAAGGATTTTTTTAATTGTTCCTCAGAGTATAGTATGTGAAGGCATTTGCAGTGCAAGAAACACACTGAAGTCGACACTGTTGCTGGGACAGAACCTTCTGCTTCCCTGGACTAGAATTGTTTGAGGTTGTGTGTTTTGGGTGGTAAAAGAGTGGTTACCTAGCAACAACCCCTCCTCCCTTGTCTGTGCTGCAAGAATCAGCTTGGGCTTGTCAGTAAATTGATTACTAGTTTGCTAGATCTGAAAGAACAATGCAATAATGTGGTAGGGTGTAATTCTTAATCATAAGAAACTTACAGGTTTTTCTTGTGGATTCTACTCTTTATCGGATGCTCCTTGAAGCTTATCTGGAGACTGTATAAACGCTGAAGTGATATTTATCAAATGAAAAAGAGACTTCAGATTTTGATTAATGGCATTTATTTTCAGTTTTCTCTTGAAGCAAGCAATGAAATAGTTACAATAGCATCAGCTTTGGGCAAGTGGTCATCTTATCTTATTGAGCTCTCTGAAACAAGGCATCACACAATGGGCTGGGTTTTGGAGAAATTCTGTTTAAAAAATCTAGACAGGTTTTATGCACCATTTTACCATCTGAAGTCATAGCTAATGAGGTACTAATTTTTATATAACATACACAGAATATACTTATGTTTATAACAAATGAGCTGAACCATATGTTACAATAACTTAGATGGGAAACATATACTTTAATACAATTTACATCACACAATCAGATTACTTTGAAATGCATCACAAATGAATGCCACTGTTGTCTAATGGAGCAACTCCACTGGTGACTACATAGGGCTGAGAAGGCAGGAATGCCAACAATCAGATTAGTTAGGACACTACCACAGACACTGCCATGGGAAGATTACATGCAAAACTTAGTTTCTGTGTTTTCATAGCATGAGTATGTAAGGTTTTAAAAACCGGCTATTCAAAGAATGCTACAGTGCCAAGTGTGTGGGAGCTGGTAGAAAGGGAAAGAAAAGAGGCTTTGACTTAGAAAATTTTCCATGATGCAGAGAGCTGAAACCAATGTCTCCCCAGACACACTGCTGACGCTTGGGGCAGCTGTTTGCCAATGTGCAGACACCTGTCTCATGTACAGTAGTTTTCTGAGACATCTCATGCCTCATCCTCCTTCAATACAGCACATACTGAATTTCATTTTATTGAATTTCATAGCAAAGGACATTGTGTGTATCCATGAAACATTAAGTAATAGGTGCAAGTCATAGCTGTATGTTTCTTCTTTACAAATCTGCTAAGTGTTTTTGAAAGCAATATCCTTTTGTTAGTATAAGGACATAGTCAAATTAATAAAAATATGACAGCATATTTTTCCAGATCTTCATTCCAAAGAATAGCATTCCTTTGAAAGTAACTGGTAATACTATTTCAGAATTTGGTCAAATTCTTGTAATTTGTTTTCAGAAACCTCTTAGAAGATAGGGCCTATGACTGTAAATATGACTATATCAGCAGTGTCCAAATATTAAAAGTCATATCTGAGAATAAATTTAACACAGTCAGACATAATTTCAACTGTTTCCAAGAATCTTAACTGGTCAAATGTCAGGTATTAAAAAGAAAAGCTGACAAACCAGAAAACAGCAGGAACACCAACCAAATGTTTAGACTATAAATTGTGTAAATATAGGGGATGGTAGAGGGGACATGGTTATTTTTAATATACCAATTTGCAGTATATTCCTCTCAAATGTGATTAAGTATGACGTGCATTCAATATTTCACCGAATATTTTAGGAAACAAGGATGCATCTTATTTGGTATGGACATTTCCCTCTCCTTATTCTTTATTTCCTTTATAAATTATGATATTCTGATAACTAGGGCACATTTGTTTTAATGTCTGTATATGATCAGGAGAATTTTGGGTTAAGAACTGTTAAGGATACTATTCAGGACGAGTCTCCGCGTGTCTTTGAGCCTAACAGAATAGCATAGTTAATATCTAGTAGCCCAACAGTTAAAATAATTGGTGAGTGTGAGCTGAATCCTCAAGAGAGGAGGGAGGGTGCCAGAAGGAGGGCGAGGAGGAGCGGCTGAAGGGAGGAGGGGGAGGGCAGGTGCTGATTTCAGCCCTGTAGCGTCAGGATTGCGTCAATTCGGGTTTCTGCCACGTCTGGAGTCTCAGAGACAAGCTTTTCAGAAGAGCCAAAACAGGAACAGGGCAGGGTGGCACATCGCTGAGAGAAAGCGCAGACCTTCATCCAGCCCCTCCCGCTGCAGGTGCGGTCCCCGTGTCTGCTCTTTCCCCGGGAAGCCTTGTTCCAGGGTCCTCCCAGGTGAATCTGCCTGGAGTTCTTCAGCACCTCGGACAGAGCACGCAGAAAACATGGCTCCTATCACTACCAGCCGCGTGGAATTCGGTGAGCAAGTTGCTGAACTTGGGGCTGTGGCTGGGCTCAAGGCTGTGCTGTGCTTTGCTCGCCACTGGATGCTGAATATGTATATTCAAGTAGCTAATTTGAAAGGAAGACGGGAACGGCAGATGGTTAATTGTGGCTTACTTCCTTTACTCGGTAGCTTTCTCCTTATCATCGCCTTCTGCTATTTCACCTTCTAGAAGTTCCCGAATGTTCACTCAGCTCTGTAAGCCTGAGCTGAGGAAGGACAAGGACATCTGTTGTTAGAACGCTGCTTCATTTATTTTCTGGATGATTCCTATTTGGGTGTAAATCTTTTAAGGAAAGCTACATACTCCTTTGGTTACGTAAGAGTTCGGTATGACATACAATAACTTGTGTGTTGAGGATTTGAGATGAGTATTTTATTACACTGTCATAATTATCTCTGCTATGTTTTCTTGTATCCCTGAAGTATGTTGCTAATGACAGACAGAATTCTGTGATGATATAGTTCTGGGGACTTTGAAATCAAACTGGCTTTGGCCTGTTTCATGTCTCTGGCTGAGTTTTCTGGAGTCCAGCGCTGTACAGTTAAGTAAAAGCTGCTCAAAACTTAGATTAGGGTATTGCTTTCTGAATGGCTTTTCCTGTTCGTATACCAAAATTTTGACTCTATAGTCTCCTTGTCTGCTTCAGTAAATAAACTAGATGTGCCTTTTAGAAAATCAATTAACATGTCTAGGTCCAGTTATATTCTGGTGGGAAAAGACCAGGGTTTTATCTATAAGCATTTTTTAATTAAAGGTTGGAGAAATTTTTGAATAGTATCTCTAGATGTATCATAATTGTGATTAAAATGAATGATATGGCATAATCTCTACTCTCAAAAGCTAAACACAGTATCAGTAGTTACATTAGCAGACTATGAGCCCATGTTTTGTTGGGTGTTTTGAGTATTAGAGATAATAAAATATGCATGAATGATTTTTCTCAGCCTTTAATAGTTGTGTGTGTGTGTGTGTGTGTGTGTGTGTGTGTGTGATACACCCAGTTCTTGATTTGAAATCAGAAATTTTCTTATAGTGAGGCATCTTCAGAGACTATCCTTGTGAACATGTGCTCATCCCCAGCTGTCTGTCTACTTAGAAAATATTGATTCCACTGGCTTTTATTGTTCTTCTTATATTGGTTGAAGCATTTCTTAGTTCCTGAGTTTGCTTTTGCTGCTTTGCCCTGAGTTATTATGGGGTGTGTGTGTGTGTGTGTGTGTGTGTGTGTGTGTGTGTATGGGGAGGGGCACACAAAGATTTGAATAGAAGGGAAGAAGCTGATACTGTTTAGCTGATTAACTCTTCATCTTCCCCACTCTCCTCCTCCCCACCCTTCTCTTCCTCCTCTTCCTCTCCTCCTCCTTTTTTTTTTCTCCTTCTTCTTAGTATCCACATTCACTTTTTTTCCTATTTAGGGGACTTACAGCTTTACTTCATTTTTTACACTATTCAATTTAGTCATACAATTGAGTTATAGATTTTTTAATTGCTGCTTTATTTTTTTTAACCTCACATATTTCTATTACTGTTTCTCCATTTGATTTCCTTTGAGTTCATTATTATGATCATGAAGCAGATGGACAGAATATTTAGGATATGAAGAAGGGACATAAAAAAGATTGGTTCTTGGGTTTAGAAAGTATTAACCCTTTTTGGGCTGGGACTTTGATGTTTAGTATTCACTAAACATGGATAAAATAGAGCTAAATGTGCACAAGGTGCTATAGTCACTTTATGCAAAGATTTACTCAGTTTCTTCACTGTTAGGTGTGGTAGTACAACTGCTAAATAATTGTGAGAAGAATCTGCTTACATATGAAATGATATATGCCTCATGCACAATCACTGTTGGCATGTCACTTGATGCTAATGATTGAATGTGTTCCAAGTTAAGAAAACAATGCCATTCTCATGTTTATTTCCTCTTGCCATATAGAAATATACAAGGCAGAATTGAACTCTAAACTCTTTATATTCACTTTTCACTCACATTTTGGGAATAATTATGGATTTTTTGACCATTATTTTCTTTTAACACACATATAATACTTTGTTTGGATAATTCAGTGCTTGAAGACTTTTAAGTTCATATTTACAAAGGGATTATAATGTTATATTTATAAGCTATTATTATTTCCTGTTACTCTCTTTTTCCTTATTAATAAATATTTACCTCTCTATCACACCCACAAATAGAATAAAAATATTTAATTGTTTTGTACCAATAACCAATGGTCAGGGTTTTTTTTGCATAATTTTTATTGTGTAGATTACTGTCTTTAAGTGTTATTTTTTTTCTGCTTGAATCTTGAGGGAATAGAGATGTATTAAAATGTCCTTTTAATATGAGTTGTATTAGAGATGTATTAAATAGAAATATATTTAAAATAGAATAGAGAATAGAGTTATATTACACTATACTTTTAATATGAGTTGTAATACAGATGTATAGAATGTTCTTTTAATATGAGTTTTCCAATATTTGTTGGTTATATAGGTATACAAATGTATGTATATATATAAATATATACACATAATTATTAGATTAATGCTTTTGGAAAGCTTCAAAATGTCACTGAAAAATAACAAAGATTAGTACTTCTTCATATTATTGTAGTTGACTCATGATATCTGAATAAAAAGTTATGTGAGGCTATTAAACATGACCCCATGTTGGTTCCAGATACACTTTCATTTATTTATGAAAATCTATGGAAACACAGAAACAGCTGACATGAACAACGGGGAGATCATGGACCCCAGTCTGATAGCTGGGAAACCAGCATAGGACCAATCTAGACCCCTTGAACATTGGTGTTAGTTAGGAGGAATGGGCAGTCTATGTGGCCTCTGGTAGTGGATCAGTATTTATCCCTAGTGCACAAATGGACTTTGGGAGCCCATTCCACATAGAGGGATGTTCTCTCAGCCTAGACACATGGGAGAGGGCCTAGGCCCTGCTCCAAATGATATGACAGACTTTGAAGATCCCCCATGGAAGACCTCACCCTCCTTGGGGAGCTAAAGGGGGATGGGACAGGGGTTGGGAGGGGGACAGGGAAGGAGGGGAGGCTGAGGGAAGTGGGATTGGCATGTAAAACAAGCTTGTTGCAAATTTAAATAAAAAATTATTAAAAAAAATCTATGGAAGCAAGGAGTTTTGAATTGAGTTTCATGTGTGTCACATAGGGCTATGTTTCAACCTCAAGTTAGTGGGAAACATTACTATTACTCATTCCCAGAACTGTGGGGAAGTAATTCAATCTCCTCTTACAGCAAGAGCTCTGTTATACTCTTCCTACAGCCCCCGCTTCTATTCTGATCATTTAATGTATGTCATTGGTCATTTGGTTTTTCAGATGAAATTCCCACAGTTGTGGGGATCTTCAGTGCATTTGGCCTCGTCTTCACTGTCTCTCTCTTTGCTTGGATCTGCTGCCAGAGAAGGTCATCTAAGTCCAACAAGACTCCTCCATACAAGTTCGTGCATGTGCTCAAAGGAGTTGACATCTACCCAGAAAACCTAAGTAGCAAAAAGAAATTTGGAGGAGATGACAAAAATGAAGCTAAGAATAAACCAGCTGTGCCAAAAATTTCACTACATCTTGATCTGGAGAAGCGAGATCTCAATGGCAATTTCCCCAAAACCAACCTCAAAGCAGGCAGCCCTTCTGATGTAGAGAACATGGCCCCAAAGCTCTTTACAGAGAGAGAAAAGGAGGCTGCTTCCCCTGAGAGCTTGAAGTCTAGCACTTCCCTCACTTCAGAAGAGAAGCAAGAGAAGCTTGGGACACTCTTCTTGTCTCTAGAGTACAATTTTGAGAAGAAAGCATTTGTGGTCAACATCAAGGAAGCCCAGGGCTTACCAGCCATGGATGAACAATCCATGACCTCTGACCCGTACATCAAAATGACGATCTTACCAGAAAAGAAGCATAAAGTGAAAACTAGAGTGCTGAGGAAGACACTGGACCCAGTCTTTGATGAAACCTTCACATTCTACGGGATTCCTTATCCCCACATCCAAGAGTTGTCCTTGCACTTCACAGTTTTGAGTTTTGACAGGTTTTCGAGAGATGATATCATTGGAGAAGTCCTGATCCCTCTTTCAGGGATTGAATTATCAGATGGAAAAATGTTAATGAATAGAGAGATCATCAAGAGAAACGCTAAGGTAATTCTTTAAGCATTTAAAGTTTTTATAAGGAATCTTTCGTGTAGGTTTAAAAAAATATATGGTGTTTTCATTCAAATGATGAGTTGGTACACATCATCCTTAATTACTGTAGGTGACAGCAAACAGAGCAGGAGAATAGAGCAGGCAAATGGGAATTTACTACATAGCTGAAATGCTCAAGGAATCATAGTGTTATAAAATAAGAGGCCATACTTTATGATACTTTTACATCATTTATGTAAAAGGCATTTAAACTTCCTAATAAAGTATCTTGAAAAAGACTGCTATTCTAAAATTCTTGTATATGTCTTTTAACATGGGTTATCAAAAGTGTTTCAGGGCCAGAGTAGCAGAATTTAAAAGTGAAATAAAAATTAAAGTAATTCCTTCTCAGGATGTAGAGTTTGAATGCAATGTGGAATTTGAATGAAATTGCTTTTGAACAAGGGGTCATCCTGTTATGCTGATTTATGAATGTCCATTTTCCTGCCGCATAAAGGAAGTGAATTACCCTGTCTTCCTACTTGCACTACTTGGACAATTCTTGGATGATTAGAAAATGACATGACAGATTTAGCAAACAGAACCCTTTTCTGTTTTAAATATAGAATGTCATCGATTCTAATAGCGGCATTTCAGAATAATTTGTTCTCCCAATACCATAACTTAAGAAAACAACAATCATATTATTTGTTTTTTTTAAAATCACAGTATTTTAGAGCTAAAAAATCTTCAGAACACTTTGTAACCAGCTTCCTGTCTTCTGTGTGCTCACAACAGTGAAGGTCTATGTCCAGATAGCCACATAGCTTGTCTGAAGGGCCTGATTGGGGCCTATTAGGACCAGAGAGCTCCCTGGCTGCTTTTCACTCTTTGCTGTTCCTTTTTGTATAGCTGCTCAGTTTTAGGTGGTTCTTCCTCAGCTATAGGAATATAGATATATATTCTTTTTTAAAAACATGGTTTTTCTTTAGCTGTTCTTAAATATAAATCAGCCCCATGTTACTGTTTTGTTAGTTTTAGTTTGCACTTTGCATTCTCAGTGGTCTTAGCTAATGTCTTTAATATAAAATTAAATGTAAGTAACTTGCAGTGAAGGAATTCATGTTACTGTCCAAAAGCAAATTCTGAAACTTGAGCCCATTCTCTCCAGTTCTTAAATTTAATTATTTTCTCCTTAGACTGAAGAAAGACTTTGACTATGTAGGACAAGAATTCTAACTCCATCATGATCCTGGTCCAGAATAGTGGTTGGATGCAGAATAAGTTTTCTTTGGTTTGAATTCAAATGTCAATAATGCCAATAATAAAGAATTTAAACTAAAATCAAACATCAGCCATGTGATCCTACACATATCAATTGACAATATTATGTATCCTATTACTATTAAAAACTTAAAACGTTAAAGATAATCCTTAAATAGCATAAGCCAAAGGAAAAAAATCCTCTTGGGAATATAATATAAACATCTGTCAAAACATGTCTAAGTATTGGGTGTGGTCAAATCCTGGCCAATTTTAGCATTATGTAGTACCTAAAGCAACCACAAGATGGCAGGCAATGGTTTTAGTCATTATAGGGCTGCGCAAAAGTGGTTTCTCAGATTCCTTAGCTTGCTAAAATAAAAATAAATAGGAACATGGCGTTGAAATAACAAAGCTATTATGTTGCTGTATGTTTTGTGACAAGAGTACAAAAGCTCAAAACGAAAACTGTGTCTACTGTATTGTCTTTGTTTAGAAGTCTTCCGGACGGGGCGAGCTTCTGGTCTCCCTATGCTATCAGTCCACTACAAACACGCTCACTGTGGTTGTCTTAAAAGCACGACACCTGCCGAAGTCTGATGTGTCTGGACTTTCAGGTGAGAATTCTTCTGAAATCCCAGAGTTCATTCTATAACCGGCTACTGTGTTTCACGATCATTATCAGCTGACATTGGGCCCTGGTTCTGTCATTCTCAATCATGAGTACTGGGATTGTTGATTTTTGTTTCCTGGCTCTAAGGGGAAAATTTGAGTCAATTCTGCCAGAGTATAGAAAAATTCATATGCCTGTAAGACGTTAGTGAGGAGGGAATATTTAAGTGAATGGCTTAAAGCAGAGCAATGACCAATGAAGAGGAAAAAATGTAGCCTAACATTGCTCAGAAAGAGATTTTTGAACTTTTGCATTTCAAATGACTTACTCATTCACACACTTTGGTGAGCTCATTATTTTTCTTCTAATGATGTATATGCTTCAAGAATTGAATTTTAGTTTTGAATAACTGAAAAATTAAAATGTTTGTTGTAGAATATGAGAAAGAAACTGAACTAAATTGTGGGTTAAAAAGATGTTAATTAAAATTTTCATCCTTCCATTTCTTAATATAGTACCCCCTTCCTATTTCTTAAACACTATAGAAATTGGGCACAATAATACTTGAAGGGCATTCTGAAAGCTAGAAATATATATTTTAATAAAGAGTTTTCAAGTGGTATTATTATTGTTTGATTGTAGAAATTGAAGATAAGTTCTTAAAATTTGAGATCATGATGATAAATAACATAAATACTGCAATCAACAATTATATATGTGATAAGGAAAGTTACATGATCCTACACCCATTTAGTAAGAATGTCACTGGGGTGATCAACTCTGCTAAACTAAAAGCACATTCTGCATATGACTAACCACCTGCAGAAAAGCTAAAGTGGGGGACATGACCAGTATGGTTTCCAATTCCCTGTTCAACAACGACAATGGCAGCCACCAGGAGCCAGACTCCCCAAGAGCATACAATCAGCAATCTCAGATGCTGCCTTTATCTCACTTTCTGGAATTCATTACTAGGAGGCAGTGTGATCATCCTCTTTCCTCCCACTTTTGTTAAATTCTCGGCCTTCTGCTATTATGGTTCCTTCCCTAACATCAGGTCTAGAACTGGTTCCCATTCTCCATCATTTTCAATGTTATTAGTAAGAGAAAGGTCAAACATATTCACACTTCCTATTTACTTATACTTGTTTATGCTCTAAGATACCCATTTCCACTGTACTGGGGTGGGTGCCTGCCATCTCCTAGGTTGGGTCTGTAGCTGACTGTTGACAATGTAACACTTGTGGCATATCATTGCAGATCCCTACGTCAAGGTGAACCTGTACCATGCCAAGAAAAGGATCTCTAAAAAGAAGACTCACGTTAAGAAATGCACTCCCAATGCAGTGTTCAATGAACTGTTTGTCTTTGATATTCCTTGTGAGAGTCTGGAAGAAATAAGTGTTGAATTTTTAGTTTTGGATTCTGAAAGGGGATCCAGAAATGAGGTCATTGGGCGGTTGGTCCTGGGTGCATCAGCGGAAGGAAGCGGTGGGGGGCACTGGAAGGAGATCTGTGACTTTCCCAGGAGACAAATTGCTAAGTGGCACATGCTCTGTGATGGGTAGTTTCCTAGCCATGATTTTTACTAGGTGAGAAGCAATTTTCTTTCTTATACCTGATTATAAGCTTGTGGCTCAGCAAGCTACTTTTATTTATTTATTTACCTATCTGTTTGTTTGTTTTGGTTAGAAGAGGATTAAATCAGTAGATCAGAAAACAGTTGTAAATGTGTATCTTGATAATTTCTTCCTTTATTACAGGTGTTGGCTAAACTTTCCTTAGATATTCAGTTTCCCTTTGTGTGGTCTTAAGTGGACCAACCAAGCCTGTTATGAGCTTTCTAGCTTAATCTCAAATCACAGGTAGGTGTGTGTTGTAGGTGATGATGTCACTTTTGCCTTGGTAGTGGAAGTCCAGGTGATTGTTAAGAGTTCAAAATGAAAACCACACCTTTTTGTATGAAAATTAACCCATGTTTCTTCAGGTTGGGTAGATAAGGTTTTATTTAAATCCAAAGATATTTCAGAAACGTCCTTAAGTCTGTTTTCTAGTTAGATATGTCATGTACAAATGGTTGTCCTATATATCTATGATAGGCTGTCATTTCCATTCGGTTTGTAATTATTTGATACAATCTCATCATAAAAGGGGTGGCTTAGGTTCATTTCACAAAGGCAGCAAACACGTTGAGAAATTAATTTATTAAAGGGCTGAATTGAAGAACACTGTGGTTGCAATGAGATTTTTTTTTTGTTCCCTAGGATCACAAGTGAGTCATGTAAAATGTAGCTTCACTTAAGAACCATGGTCTTGAATTATTCACTGCCCATTACAAGCCTCAGTGTGGCCTAAGATACTCCTATGTACCTTTGTGAAGCTGTCAGATTATCTAGTGGAAAAAAATAAACTTAAGCTAGAAATACAGCTAAGAATACAGTTTTTTTTTTAAATAAACAATTTATCAATGTACAAGTGTATTTTCAAGGCTGTCTTTCCCCCTCAGAGAGGGCATGGCTACCTAAGTCTTATTACTTATTCTTTCCTAGGAAGAATTAAGCTACTTAAAAAGAGAGTGTGTTAAATTCTGTGCATTATCAGGTTGAAATCAACCATGTCAAGTAAAAAGACTAAGACAAGAGGAAGCCTTTCAACATTTACAAATATTCACAAAATATACTTAAGCTGTAAAATTAGAGCAGACAGTGTGTTCTGCACTATCTTTGGAGGCCAATTTGTCTTGAGCTGTTATTTTTAAGATAGCTTAAAGAATCTTGTCTTGTGCCACTCCCAATTGCTAAGTTCTGAAATTCTTGCCAATCTTGTTTGAGGCAAGCAGAGCTCTAGCATTCTCTGGGAAGACTTAACTTGATGGTGATGTCTTTCTATTTGAGCTGTTAGCGAGTCATGAGTGTGACTTAGGTCCAGCTGAATTATTAAATATGCAAGTTAGAGATAATGTCTACTGAAAACTTTACCCTTTGAGTCAAGTTTTGTGTCAGTGCTTTAGCCATTTTTGAGAATGTGTTTAATATCACAGTGTTTGTAAATTCAATGAAAATGTATTTCCAAACCACTTGTCTGTGCTTTTTATGACTATGACAAAAGTCCAACTTTCTGTAAGGAAATCTATTTCATTCTGTATGTACAAAAATTGAAATCAACCTCTTTTATGCTTTTCCCCCCACTCATTGTCATCCAGTGACAATGTCATCTCCCATCTCTGTCTACTCAGCAGCCTGTGAAAGCAACATGGAGTGAACTGCAGTCATGTGGAGTTTGGGGAGGCCAGATGGCCTTTGTATGTATGTACATTTGATATCATAGGCCATGGAATGTAGGATAGCTTGGAGCTCTAATGTCATGAGGCATCATTTCCAAGTATCCTACAGAGCAGCAGGAAGTTGACAGTAATCCAGTTTATAGGGTGTTTATTGGAGAAGGAATTTTTAAAATATAGGAAACAAGACTGACAACAGATACTTTTGAAATCACATTAAATTGTTTGTAAATAGTTTTCAGTTTCACAATTTAAAGTGTTTTGAAGGTGATAAGTTGATTGAAGCTACTTATAACTGGTTTTAAGGAGAAAAAAGAGTGAAGAAAAGAAAAGAAAAGCAAGAGAAGAGTTGAAACAGGCAGGGAGTTAAGTGATCTCATCATTTCTGAAAACTGTACTGTTTATAATGTATTACAATACCAATGTGAATATCCAACTCTGCTAAATTTCCTGCACTGTACTAAACATGTAAATGAATTTATTGTCTGCTTAGCCAGTCTAACCGCCCGATAGGGAGGTTGCCGTGTCTGGAGAACTGTGACTCAGTAACTGACTTGTTGTAGTTCAGTAGAAGTGGTCTGGATGAAAGCATGGTGTAAGGGAGATGCTGTCTGTTCTCATGTGCCAGCACTGTATGTTTGTAAGACATGAATAAACTGCTGCTTTTGCCCAAACGAGCTCTGTCATAAGTTTTATCTATTGCTTTCTGGGTTTTTTCCTTTTGCTGATAGACCACAAACACAGGTTAGGGAGCTCTGGAGCCCAAGCAACAAGACCTTTCATGTTTAGAACTATGAATTTGTCTAATTTTTGACAGTCACCTGAGGCAGATGTGCCCAACCTGAAGAGAAGCCTGGTTCTTAGAGAACATAGGTACATACACAGATATGACAAGGTTCCTTTCTGTCCTCATTCCTGCCTCCAGCCTACTCTTCCCTCGTCAAGGGTGGGGATAGGCAAAAGTTTTGTCAATTGGCTTCACTAGATTCTTCTAGCTCTTATCAGGACATGGTCTTGCTAGCCAAGGTTAGCTTCAGTCTCCTGAGTTCTGTGGTTTCAGAGGTGTACTGCTGTAGGCAAAGGTGCAGTCTTCATATGAACTCTTTTTATTTTTGTGTTTGCCATGAGGGAGACTGAAATCACACTCTTATTCATGATAGGCCACTGCACCACCACTGTACATCTCTAGTTCTTTCTGCCAGATTCATTTTTTATAATTTATTTTACATCCCTACTGCATTTCCCTCTCCCACCTCTCCTCCCATCCCCTTCCCCTACCTCTTCTCCATCCCTCATCCACTCTTCCTGTTTCTGTTCAGAAAGAGGAAGGCCTCCCATGGGTATCAAGTTGCATAACACATTGCAGTAAGACTAAACATCTCCACTTGTATAAGGCTGGGTGAGGTAATTCAGTATGAGGAATAGATTCCCGAGAACCAGCCAAAGCTCTAGGATGGCATATAATAGTAATCATCAATGAATGCACGTTGGGAGCTCATTCTACATAGAGGGATGCTCCCTCAGCCTAGATACATGAGGGAGGGCCTAGGCCCTGCTACAAATGATATGATAGACTTTGAAGACTCCCCATGGAAGTCTTCTCCTTGGGGAGTAGAAAGGGGTTGTGATGAGGGTTGGTGCGGGAGCAGGGGAGGATGGGAGGGTATGGGAACTGGGACTGACATGTAAAACAAGCTTGCTTCAAATTTAAATAAAAGAAAAGTTATATGTAATAATAATAATAATAATAAACCAGCCAAAGCATTAGGGATAGCTCCTGCTCCCATTGTTAGGAGTATCACAAGTAGACTAAGCTACACAGCTGTCACATATATGTAGAGGGCCTAAGTTGGTCTCATGCAGGCTCCCTGGTTGTTGGATAAGTCTCTGTGAGCCCCTATGAGGCAGGTTAGTTAATTCTGTGGGTTTTCTTTATTCTTTATTCCTTTCCTCAGCAGGATTCCCTGAGCTCGGCCTAATGTTTAGCTGTGGGTCTTTGCATCTGTTTCCATCAGTCACTGGATGAATTTTCTCTGATGACAATTAGGGTGATCACTAATCTGATCACAGAATATTGTCAGTTCAGGCTGCTTCTCCACAATTGCTAGGGGTCATTCTGCTAGAGTCTTAAAAAAGCCCCATTCTCATTTCTTTTCCTATTTTTTTATTTACTTTCCCACATTTTCTTGTTTTTACTCAACAATTTTGGTTCTTATTATATTTTTACTCTTTTTGTCCTCTTTTTTGTATTTCAGATTTTCCTTACCTATTTTATTACTTCCTTGTACTATTTTTTAAACTTTCTCACATACTTATACTACATAGATTCAATTATTAGAATAGCAAAACAGTGTTGCCATATTTCATTTTCAAGAAGGAAAGAAAACTTGGGGTAGTGCAACAGTCCCACCAGGTAAATAACAACAGTAAGAGCTTTGAGAATCACATACTTTTTGCAGTATTGACTGTGTGAAAGTGTGCTATGGTGTTCATATATGGCACAACATTCTTGTGAATAGAATGCAACTATAATAGAATGTAACTGACATGTTTTAAAAACACCTGAATCATATTAAATGTATGCCTTGGTATGTGGAAAGAACTAATAGGGCATTACTATATTTCAGTGTTCAGTGGTTTTAAGAGATACCCTATCTTTGAGGCTGGAGATGGCTCAGTGGTTAAGAATACTGCTTGCTGGTTCCCTGGTAAAGGGGAAAGGGACAAGAGCCCCTGAACTAATTGGGAGCAGAGGGGGGAGGAGGGAGTGGGAAGGAGAGGGAGGTAGGAGAAAGAGGAGGGGGAAAGAGGAGTGGGAGAAGAACATGAAGGATCAGGAAGATTGAGTAGGGAGATGAATAAAGGAGAGCAAGAAAAGAGACACATCAATAGAGGGATCCATTATAGGTTTAAAGAGAAACCTGGCACTAAGGAAATGACTAGAGATATATATGGATGACCCCAACTACGGATCTAAACAATAGTGGAGAGGCTACCTTAAATGCCCTTCTCCGATAATGAGATTGATGACTACTTTATATGCCATCCTAGAGCCTTCATCTAGTAGCTGATGGAAACAGAAGCAGACAGCCACAACTAAACACTGAGCTGAACTCTTGGAATCCAGTTTCAGAGCGGGAGGAGTGACAAAAAAGGGGTTAAGACCACGCTGGCAAAATCCACAGAAACAGCTGACCTGAGCAAGTGGGAGCTCATGGACTCTATTCTGGCAGCTGGGGAACAAGCACAGGACCAAACCAGGCCCCCTGAACATGGGTGTCAGCTAGGAGGACTGGGCAGTCAATGAGGCCTCTGGCTGTGGAACCACGATGTATCTCTAGTGCAGGAACAGACTTTGGGAGGCCATCTCCCTTGGAGGG